TCATGGTTTGCAGTTGGGCGTGTGTTTGAGCGATTGTGTGTTGGGTCTCTGTCTTGTAGCCTATAAGCTCCGGGGGAGCGAAGGCAAAGCCAGGGGGAGGGGAGGGGGTCCCAGTGTAGCCCCCGTGGCCCACTCGTGTCTGCAGTGAAAACTGCCGAAGGGACAGACCGACCATTTGAGTTGACTAACAGCACCTTCATGTTCTCTGGGCTCTGGCTGCCCGTAAAGAGTAATGTTACTGCTGTCGAAGTAGGAGGAGGTGTGTTCTCGTTGATTCTCACACTCGCTGAGACGCAGATGGGTCACCCCTCACACACATGTTGAACCTGCACGAAGTTGGGCCTGGGCTGCTGACTCACGGCTGATCTTTCAGGTCGGGATCGTGCAGTACGGAGAGAACGTGACCCACGAGTTCAACCTCAACACCTACTCCTCCACGGAGGACGTGCTCCTCGCTGCCAACAAAATCGTCCAGAGAGGCGGCCGCCAGACCATGACCGCCCTCGGGATCGACACAGCCAGGTACGCGGCCGCCAAACCCACCACAGCCAGCGTCTCCGGCCTGGCCATTCGCAGCGCGCAGCGAGCACTCACCTTGGCGGTACTGAAAGCCATCTTGTTTAAAGCTGGATGCGGCCAGTGAGCTCGCAGTTCCAGAATCAGGTTTTTCTATAATACAGTCTCTCTTCTTCTCTTTCCGTTTATTCCAAGGGTTAAATTAATGGAAAATCGATCAAAAACCCTGGCTCGCGAGCCGCAGTTTGCTGACCACTGGTCTACGGCATCGTGCTCTTGGGCACTAAGGCATAACAGGAGGGACTATCTTTCCCTCTAGTCTTTGTTCCCAGCTTCTAGAATTCTCAATCTAAAAAACATGGTCCGTGCACTTCTAGTATGGCATACACTCTCGTACGCCTGTCATTTTCCAGCACCGACTGGGGGTATGGGAGCTCTCAAACAGGAGTTTAAGAGGCCACGTCCGGTATTGCCTTACTTGAAACCATGCTCAGTGCACACATTGCAAGAAGTGGGTGTGATGCTGGCTCTTCCTTCTTCCTTACTTTCTCCAAATCCCCTCCGATTTCCACCCCTGCCTCCCTCCTGCCGACTCTGGCTGGACCTCCTTCTACAAGAGCCCACTGGCCCGCCCTTTCTGCAGCGCAGATCTGCTCTTTTCTGGATTCCCCATCTCCTCCAGCTCTCCCTGCCCCTGCTCCTCCGCGTGTCACCGTGAGAACTCGTAAGCTTCTGCGCAAACACGGAGCAAACACTGGACAGTTCCCAAATCTGACAGGCGTTTGTCTGGTGTTAAGAGCCTTCGGCCGCGGCTTCTGCCCCGGGACCCCCTGACCCTGAAGAGCCGCTGCCCGTGCCCCTCACCTGCCTGCCGAGATCGGGGCTTCACAAACTCCAAAGAAGGGGCTGGGTAGTCAGAAATGTTAATTCCACGTGTGGCTTTAGCCTCGTCAGCATTAGGAAAGCATGTGGTTGCCGTTATGTGGGCCCAAGAGAAACTGACCCCACGCAGCGGGGGCCATTGTGCAGGTCCCTGCCCACGGGGTCGCCAGCACGGAGCGCAGCTGGGCGCACTGAGGCCTCCCTGGGTCTCGGCCAAGTGTGGCCGCCCACGGTCAGCCACAGCGGTCAGCCGCAGCGCTCCCCGACCGCTCCGAGCCCCGGGGCCTCGCTGTGCACCCCGAGGCGACCGCTGCAGCATGAATACGCAGCTTTGAAAACTCGCTGGAGCGCGGTTCCGGCCCCTCGCCCTGCACAGTCCCACTCGGGTACCACGCCCTGCGTGGTGCCGCCCGTGCGGTGGGTGCACAGAGGTCATTGAGTTCTGTGTATAAATGAGCCCCTGTGACAGGGCTCAGCAGTCCTCTTGTCCACCCGTTTTTCGCGGTTGAGGATATTTTTAATCGCTGCTTACTGCTTTCGGGCAGCGCCAGTCTCAAACGCTACTTTTGGTTTCTTAAGAATCCTTGACTTCCATGTCCCGTGTCCCCCAGTTCAAAATGCGTGTGTGTCCCCCTATCCCTGCCCCAAGTTCCCTTCCTTTGCAGTAAGTTCACACGTTTAATCATACGGCCCAGACCCTCCTATCCCAAGGAGAGGGCTCCCCTGGGATGTTTCCATGTTTACAGGCCTGCAGGGGGGCTGGGGTTTAAATTACAGACAGAACCTGGGGCGAGTCTTTGGGGGCCCAGGGTGATTTGCTGAAGGTACTTGAGAGAAGGGTGCACTCAGGCGTCAGCCAGTGGCCACTCCTCCGTCACCTGGAGCCAGTGCTGGTCTCAGGGCCGCCACATGTGCTTCAGGGAAGGTCTGCCCACCACCCTCGGCTGCTGTCTGTCTTCTGGACAGTTGGGGAGTGCAGGTGACCCCCCCCCTCACGAGGCACAGGACTGTAAGGACTGGACTCCACGAGACGTACATGAACTTCGCTTACATACCAGCCTCTCGCGTCTGTTTTCACCTTTGCTTGTGCATGGAGAGAAGTCAGGGAACCTACTGCCTAGTGTAGACGGCAGACACACAGGTCCCCGATGGCCAGTATTTTTAAATTTGTTTTCTATTGAAAATTTTAAGAAATATTTAAATGTAAAAATTTCAGTGCAGCAGAACGCCCTGTGTGCACTGAGCAGGATGAAGGTGGAAGGTGGTAGCTTGTCGAGCTTGCTACAAGCCCTTTTCCAGGAAAAACGATCACAGATCAGACCCCTCAGTGCACATCCCCGAGGCCCGCTCTCCCTGCACAGAGAGCACCCCTCCTGCGCGGCTGCTGCGAGCCTGGCCTGCGGGAAACGGAGGCAGAGGGTGCAAACGCCTTGGGAGGCGGTTTCAGAGATGTTGGCATAACCCAAGCTGCAGCTGTCCCGCCCAGGACCAGAGTAAAATGTTTAAGAGGACCACTCAGTGCAGCGATTGCTGCATTTTATACCAAAACATGAAAAATAGTACATACAGCCCTTTTATTATTTCGGTCCTAAGTAGATTGTCCTCTTCTCTACCAAGACCCCCGCAAGGAACGTGAGTCGAGTGAAAGGAAAAAATAGAGGGGAAGTGTGTGTACAAAACACACAAGACAGACGCAGACCGTCCATTTCTCCTCTCCTCAGCTCACTCCAGAGATGCTGGTGGATTAAACCCCAGTCCCTGTCTTGGCCACTCGGCTACAGCCTTTTCCCTTCTCTCGTGCCCCCTTTTCCCACCCCACCCCCAGCAGCCTGTGTCCTAAACCTGGTTCCCAGCTCTTTCATGGCGACCCCAGGCCTCCTGGGCCCTCACCCTGTCGTCCCTACTCCGACCAAAGCCATCTGCGGTCTTTATTCTTGCATCTCATTCCATCCTCCAGCCCCCAGGCCCCTCAGGCACGCACAGCCCACAAATGGGCTCTTGCCCATCGCCCCTCCCACTCAGCGCACCTGCAGGCTGTTCTGCAGGTCAGGGTGGGGGGTTTTTTGGGGGGGGGGTGGCGGGAGGCGGCAGCTAAAGCAAGAGCTGTGGCCAGTGCAGAAGGAAGAGGCTTGTGGGGCAGAGAAGGGAGCCTGTGGAGCAGGGAGTGGCGGGAGGGCGTTCAGATCTGGCCTAAGTGCGGTGACCGCTCCGTCACACCTGCCCCTCTGAGTGCCCCCAGAAGGAAAGGCTGCGGCCTCTGTGCCGGGATGTGTGTCAGCAGGACGGCTGCTCCGCTACCGGATAAACCTAAGCCCGTGCGAGTCCTGGCCACATGCCTCCCCGCTGGCATAGCCTGGCCTCACGGTGACCGGGGAGGGAGAGCGGCTCCCTGGGGCCCTGTCCAGGGCCCTGTCCGGGGCTCCCCCCGCCGGATGGCGGTTCACCAGCTTCTCTCCTCTGGACCCTTTCAGGAAGGAGGCTTTCATGGAGGCCCGGGGCGCCCGCAGGGGCGTCAAGAAAGTCATGGTGATCGTGACGGACGGGGAGTCCCACGACAACCACCGGCTGCCCCAGGTCATCCAGGACTGCGAGGGCGACGGCATCCAGCGGTTCTCCATCGCGGTGGGTACCGGGCCCTGCGGTGATGGGACTCTCTCGGGCCCGTAGCTGGGGGGCTCCTCCGCGCGCCACCCCTCGGCGTGATGGAGGGTGGGGAGGCGGAGATGCACGTCGAGGCCTGTGCCCTGGGTGCAGAGCCCGGGCCGCTCACACCCCCACTGCGCGAGCCAAGTGGTGCCACAGCGGCTACGAAAATGTTCCCTGTAAACGCATGCAAGCCGGACAGGAGGTGAAGGGACCGGAGCAGGAGACATTCCCTCGGTTCCGAGGGCACCTCCGGCGGCTGTGATGATGGGTGCTGCCTGGAAAGCCCGCACGCCTGTGACACACCTGGGCTCATGCAGAGACACCGCGGTTCACACACAGCACTGCCTCCCACGTGCAGCCAGAGCCTGAGCACTGACCCCTCCTGCAGCTCCGGCAGTCAGCGGCTTCCTTCTCATGGCGCCGCCGCGGGGAGGGACATCAGGACACAGGCTTTGCAAACACAGACAGTCATTTAAGGGGCCCTTTCCCGCACGCTGTCACGTACGGTGGCGTTTTCTATCTGCGTCCACCTGCCTTCCCTGTCCTCAAGGTCCCCAAGGGGAGGGTAGCTTTCCTTTCCCCGCGCTGTGAGTCGGTGAGCCCAGGGCAGCAGGCCCATGGCTGTGGGCGGCGTGGCCTGGTCTCCGAGTCTCCAGACTCTGCGGCCCCCTCACCCCCGACTCATCATATGACCCGCTGTCCCTGGCTTCCTTCCCAGGCCCCAGTTTCCCATCCGTCTCCACTCATGTCACAGCTTCCCACGGGCACCGCAGTACCCCCCCGCAACACCTTGTGCAGAGGCACAGAGACCCCGGCCTAGAGGCACGAAGCCCACCAGCCGCGTCACAATCTGAACAGCAGGGGACTCCGGGCACTTCCCCAAAGCGATGAGTAGGAGGGTGGGGTGGGGAAGGGCAGAGGACACTGTATTTGAGTCGGAAAGGCCTGCGTTCAAATTCTGCCTATGACAGTGGTCAATTACTTAACCCTAAGCGCTTCAGCTTCTTTTAAAAATATATATGTTTATATTGTTTTCAGAGAGGAAGGGAGAGGGAGAGAGATGGAAACATCAATGATGGGAGAGAATCATGGATCGGCCGCCTCCCGCACGCCCCACACTGGGGATCGAGCCTGCAATCCGGGCCTGGGCCCCGACCAGGAATTGAACCCTGACCTCCTGGGTCATAGGACTGAGCCACGCCGGCCAGGCTAGCGGTCTCTTATGACACTAAACACAGACTTGCTGTGGGACCCAGCGCTGTCACTTTCACATCTGCACTCGGGAGAAAGGAAAACATGTCCACGCAGAGACCTCTCTGCAGGACTGTTTCTAGCAGCTTCACTCTTAATCACTCGAAACTGGGAGCAGCCCAGATGCCCCCCACAAATGCATCGGGTGCCCCTACGCGGTGGGAGGGATCCGCGGCAAGAGGGACTGAGCTTCCCACACAGCGGCAGCGGCAGCGGCATGGCTGTCAGAGCACCAGGCACAGTGACAGAAGCCAGATGCACGGCCGCATGCCACTGATGCCTTGCCTCTGACGTCCTGGAAAAGCAGGCTGTCAGGGCAGAACGCAGACCGGGTCCCTGAGGGGCTGGGGAGGGAGGTGGGCTGCAAGGAAGCCAGAGGGAGCCTGGGGCGACAGGAACATTCCCTGTCTCCACACGCTGGTGACACAGGGCATAGGTTTGTCAAAACTCAATTGTCTGCCTAAAAAGAGTGGCTTTTACTGCATATAAACGATATCCCCATAAACCTTTCTCTTAAAAGTAAACCAAATGTTCAAGAGAACCTTCTAGAACATGTAAATAATTACAGCTCACGAAAACAGCAGCCCCACCCCCTCTGTGAAAAGGAATGTCCCTGTCTGGGCCTTTGGTTTCAAACAGGAAGTCGTCATTGTTTATTTCCCAGACTTCCAAGCAAGATCGCTCCTAGTCCAATCGCTGATTAAAATGTACATGCAGCACCGGCCGCTTTGGCTCAGTGGATAGAGCGTCGGCCTGCGGACTGAACGGTCCTGGGTTCGATTCCGGTCAAGGGCATGTATCTTGGTTGCGGGCACATCCCCAGTAGGAGGTGTGCAGGAGGCAGCTGATTGATGTTTCTCTCTCATCGATGTTTCTAACTCTCTATCCCTCTCCCTTTCTCTCTATAAAAAATCAATAAAATATATTTTTTAAAAATGTACATGCAGCCCCGGCCGCTTTGGCTCAGTGGGTAGAGCATGGGCCCACGGACTGAAGGGTCCTGGGTTTGATTCTGATCAGGGCATGTAACTTGATTGCAGGCTTGATCCCCAGTAGAGGGCGTGCAGGAGGCAGCTGATCGATGTTTCTCTCTCATCAATGTTTCTAACTCTCTATCCTTCTCCTTTCCTCTCTGTAAAAAATCAATAAAATCTATTTAATAAAGAAAAGAATGAATAAAATGTAGGTGGGTTAGCCTGCCCCCTGTAGGGTTTTCAGGAAGAACCAAGAATTCAAGGTCAAGCAACCCACTGGCTTCTCGCTTTGCCAGCAGACGGCGGGCGGTCTCACCGGCCAGCATCACATCAGAGACCGTCAGAAAGTGTAGCGTTACTTTTGAGCCGTCATGTCTTTAAGAGACGGCGGTTAATAAACAGGTCCACGGGGATACAGCACAGGAGCCGTCCACGAACACGCAGGACTGCCCTTCACGTCCCCCGCCCCGATGGCGGCGTGGAACAGTTACTGTCAGGGAACCTCCGCATCTGGTAATCACTCTCCCGAGAAGGTGCGAGCACATGAAACCGCGTTAGGCCGGGATCCTGCACACTCTCCTGTCACCCACAGGGTGCCCGAGCCCCTGTTCGTGCACAGAGTCTAAGGCATCTTCCCGCCATTTCTGTTGCCTCAGATTCTCGGCAGCTACAACCGCGGGAACCTGAGCACCGAGAAGTTCGTGGAGGAGATCAAGTCCATCGCCAGCGCGCCCACCGAGAAGCACTTCTTCAACGTGTCGGACGAGCTGGCCCTGGTCACCATCGTGGAGGCGCTGGGAGAGAGGATCTTCGCCCTGGAAGGTGGGCGTGGGGTGGGTCCGTGTCATTCCCGCCGCGTGGCTGGGGGGTGGGGTGGGGGGTCACTGTGTACAGTGGCCGGCGTGGGACAGTGACCCTTCCTGTGAGTCTGACCTTGGTCTGACCTTGCCTGGGTGGCAGTGTCACATGGCCCCGGGGCTGGGGCTGGCTGGGTGAGGACACGTGGGCGGGCGTGAGAGCCGTGAGGTCGGCGGCCCGTGGGGACGTTCAGGAGCAAATATGTGCCCGCGCGGCCTGTTTCTTTCCTGTAGGCCAACCAGAGAGGGTTTGGGGCAGCCTGTTCCTGATTCTCTTTCATGGTGAGACCAGAAAGGGCTCCATGTCCTTGCTCACTTGGGGAGTCTGCGTTCTCTGTAAACATCCACCTTCTGATAGTAAACAGCCATTCTGAAGTCCCTGCCGGCCCCGGGCAGCGCCACCTGGTGGGGGGCGGGTGCCAGCAACTCGCCCAATAACATCAGAACGTGGTCTCAGGTCCCCTTTCCCATCAGACTTCCCCAACCAGAGGCTGCACAGTGGTTAGAGCGGCTACCTGGGCACCTGGCAGCCAGGGAGCCAGGGAGGCGCTGAAGTTCGGGGAGGTACCGCGGCCGCTCCCACGATGCCCATCCAGCCGCAGCTTGTCCAAGCTTCCTGCTGTCTGTCCTCAGATCCAAGCAGAGCAGCAGCCGGGAAAGGGCTGGGAGCAGGCAGGCCTTTGCTGCCGTTCCTGTCACTGGCCTGGCAGATACAGGAGAAAGCACCTCCCAGTATCGGGGGCCTAAGTGAAGGTTGCGATCCATTAAGTTACAGTGCATCTCGGTCATTGAAGTGAGAGGGTGATGTGTGAGATTAAAATGATCGATTGGAGTTCTTGGTTGATTTTCCCATTGAATCCAGTCCTATAAAAAGGCGATTGCGGGTGTACTTGTTAACAGATTTATGCCAGGAAGTAACGAGGAAATGAGTTTGATTCCACAAATGTGATTATTCTCATGGCTCAATGAAAGGGCAGACTGACATTCTTAAAATATGCTCTATTTTTAACGTCTCCGCAAGGCCCGATAAATCAGTAACTCCCACGGAGAGCCAGTAAGTCAACATTCCCTCAGTCCCCTCGCGGCTGTGGCTGAGGGCCGGTGGGTGTTTTGAGGGTCGCACATTCCCGTGGGGCGCTCAGGACTACCTCGGCGCTGTAGTGAAGAGCTTCAGCATGGGCACGGGATCGTGTGTGCGTGCGTGTGTGTGTGTGTGTGTGCGTGTGCGTGTGCGTGTGTGTGTGTGTGTGTGCGTGTGTGTGTGTGTGAGATTGAATGGCACGTGGCCCAGAGCCCTGTCAAAAAGTCCCCTCCTGGTCTGTGAGTGATACTCACAGCCGGAAATTAGAACAAATGCAAACCTAGAATCCCTACCACTTTATCAAACAACGGGATTCTGAGAGGATCTCCAGCCAGACATATGGGTGAGGATGTGGTGCCATTTCCTCGGCCCTGTAAGGCAGCGGTGAGTTTGGTCCGATATCTCAGCAGAAATCCCCGGATAAGAGGCCCGGACAGAGGTTCCCACTGCAGGGCTCTGGGCTTTAGCCTCTGGACATAAAGCACCATGAGGCCTGTCCGCAGCTGGTGTGTGAGGACACGGCATGAGCGGAGATGCCACCACACCCCGCAAGGGTGCGGAAGCCACGTGCAAGGATGGGGGAGACGCGTTCTGCCGGTGTGCCCTGCCCCCCCCCCCCAGCCTGGGGATTCCAGATGGAGAAATGGGGCTGAAAGTGCCTTGAAGGTTGAATTCAGTTGGGAAAGACCTAGACGGGGCTCCCTGCAGCTCCGCGGTGCTAAGGGCGTCTCTCTCCCTCCAGCCACCTCCGACCAGGCCGCGGCCTCCTTTGAGATGGAAATGTCGCAGACCGGCTTCAGTGCGCACTACTCCCAGGTACGTCTCCCCTGTTCATAGCTTTCTTCTTCCAAGAAAATAAAAGATAGTTCAAGGATCTATTTCAAGAATGTGAATTTTTTTGAGGTTTCCTCCCCAAACCAACACCCAGGCATCGGCACGACAAGTACAACGTGTGGTTGGTGGCTGAGCGGTTCGCCATATCCTGGTGACGTTTCTAATCAACAGGAGACTGGCATTCCTAGCTCCTCCTGGAAAAACGTGTTCTCTCGCACAGCTCACTGCGCGGCGCTAATCGCTGTGAATCCGTTACGCCAGGTCCCCCTTACGTAGTCATGCATCTGGCTGTGTGAAATGCTTGATTTCAAACATTTGCTGATGCTATGGGATGGATCTTTTTCTCAGTGTTAAGATACTCAAGGGTTCTGCTAGAATTCCATGTTCAAGACCTAGGGTTCTTGGCACCTAGAACAAAGCTTTAGAAATTACATCATTTGTAGTTGATCGAGGAAAAGGCAACATGGTCCCTGGAAAGGCCGGCTGACACTCGATGTGCAGTTGTGCCACAGAACCAACCGGGCCTGTCACTGACCCAAGGATGGAGAAGGTACTCCCGGCGGCCGGCCGCTCGGTCATCGTGCGGGTTACAGGGGCTGAAGTGTGGGAAGCCCGTGGAAGGCGCCCATCACACTGTTGACCTGCGTGTCTGCTCTTATTAACCATCGTTTTCTCTTCCGGATGTCAGGACTGGGTCATGCTCGGAGCCGTCGGCGCCTACGACTGGAACGGGACGGTCGTCATGCAGAAGGGGAATCAGATCATCATCCCCCAAAACACCACCTTCAATGTGAAGTCTTCCAAAAAGAACGAGCCCCTGGCCTCCTACTTAGGTAAGTTGGGGCGTCATGAGTAGAATGTGATGGCTTGTAGTCGTGTTTGTGTGTTTCATCTTTCGCATCGTTTGCTGATGTTTCCGTTGGCTCACTGACAACTATGCGGAGATCCCTTCCAAGGGTCGCTGTGTTACGGGACCCGTGGGAGTTCCCGGCTCCGAGCGCCTTCGCCAGAACACAGACGCGGAAGGCGTGCTTCCTCGGAGGCTGGCGGTGCAGGGGCTGGTTTAGGCGGATGCGCATCTTCCGAGGTCTCCGGGTCTGGTACTCTCTTTAACCTCAAGAGGGGCCTTGGGACCTGGTGGAGCGGAAGTGAGGCAAGAAAAAGAAACCTTGACCCAGCTGACATCCCGAAGATCAGACTCCTGTTTTATTTCATTGTGAGAAAACCACTTACCATTTACTCTTTTAGCCAATTTTTTTTTAATGTTCTTATAGCTTTTTAAAGAGAGAGAGAGGAAGGGAGAGGGAGAGGGAGAGAGAGTGAGAGAGAGGGAGAGAGAGAGAGAGGAGAGAAACATTGATGAGAGAGAATCATCGATCAGCTGCCTCCTGCAGGACCGCTACTGGGGACCCAGCCCGAAACCTGGCACGTACCCTCTTTGGGGATCCAACCAGTGGCCTCTTGGTTCATGGGTCGATACTCAACCACTGAGCCACACGGACTGGGCTAGCCAATTTTTAAGTGTTTATTGTTGTTGACTATTCATAGTCTCTTAAATATCTCTATCATTAGTGTTTTTTTTTATGGGTCCTAATTTTGGAAAAGAAACGTTTAGTTTGTCTTGTCAGACAGCGTCTTCTTTAACAGCTCTGTTCCATAAGAGGAATATGGAACTTAAACCCAGTGATGCAGCATCTGCTCATTTCCAAAGGCTTGTCTGGAATGAGGAGGAGTGTGTCTGGTATAACCTTATTCTGATCGGTACCAGGCAGGGCTGCCCAGGGGACACCTGGGAACTCTTCTATCATCTAACTGATCTCAGTCAACAGTTGGAAGGGCCTAGGATGAGAAAGGCCTCCAAGGTATGGTTTCCCAACTCCTATGAACTCAACAAATATTTTGGGAGTCATCTTTCGCCCGAGGCGTGGTTCCTAGGGCTGGGCTGCTGGGTGAAGAACACAGATGCCTCACAGGCTCATGGGTTAGCAGTTAGCATTCCTCTCTGACCCTTCTGTCCTGGAGGCGGGTCTGTGCCTGTCCTAGTCTCCTCCTGTTTGCAGAAGAGGGTAGCAGGGCATTCATTGGTAGGTCCAAGCATCTCCTTTCAGGCACATAGGAAAGCTGTAGAGGCAAGGAAACTTAAAAAGAAAAAAGGCTTGAGGCTTTTAGATAAATAAAAGTATATAATGGTAATGTTCACGTAAGAAACAGTCAAGCCTGTAAAGAATTTTTGTGAGTTTATTTGAGCCAAACTGTCGACAATTGCCGGGAAGCAGAATCTCAACATATTGAGATAATGCTCTGGAGAATGGTGATTTTTGACCTATTTTTATACATTACCATCCAAGGAGTAGACGGAGGTGGGTTACAAGAAACCGCTGGTGATAGATTAGGGCGGTGGGAGAAAGCGAAGGGGTTGGGAGGGACCCCTGAGACTGGACAAAAGATAAAATGATGGACACACACTTCCTTTACTTGGGTGGGTGCAGGACAGTTCACAGTCAACAATGAACAGGATCACAATAACAATGAGGGAGTTTGTGGTCTCTGCCCTGTGCCCTGACACATTGGTTGTACCCTGGGGGGTCCGGGAAAAGGGAAGTTACCCTGACATTCCAAAGGCATGTTATCATAGATGCAGAAAGACAATAGGCTCAGTTAAGATCAAAGTTGGTCTTTGTCAGGGAAGATACTGGCCTAGGACATGACTACCCACCACAGACTGCTGTTTAATTTAAAAAGTTTAATTTCAGACCCTCCCCTGTGGTCACTTGAGGTCTCTGAGTTTGCAAGGCCTCCACGCAGGCCTCCCCTGAGTTAGTCAGGTCAGCAGGTGGCCCTGACTAACAGGTAAAATGTGAGTGTTCAAACCCCTTGAGACGCATTGAAATGCATGAATGAAGGTCTAGTCTATTTCTCATTAAAGTCCTGTGACATTCTGCTCTCTCAAAATGAGGAGAATAACAGTCATGCATTGCTCTAAGCCTCACGCATTAGAAAAGAAAATGCCAAACTAAGAGATGTCGATAGGAAATGATCCAGAGGATCCAGATCTGGAAACGACCCCCTTCTACCTGCCCCTCCCCCCAAGAATGGGAAGAAAGGACCATTAGAAAAGCATGTCTAACTCCCTGGAGGACTGGGGTGTAAGAGGAGGGAGTTGGGCTTAAAATGCTTGCTGAGCTGTAGCGTTCAAGGAGGTCTCAGAGAGCTGACTTTCCAAATTAGGAAACTGAGGAATAGGAGAGTCAGGTCACAACTGCCTGTGGCCGTCGGGAGCTAGGACGCAGGTCTCTGGATTCCTGCTCCAGTGCTCACCTGCCCCTCCCACTGTGCCCGACTGGGTTGGTCCAGAGGCATGAACAACCAGTGAGTACCCGAGAGGTGCCAAACCCTGACTCACAAACAGGAAACCGGATAAATAAGGTGGGTCCATCCCTCGGGGATGAAGCTACTTGTCTGGATGAGATGACAGATACTGAGGCCGGCGGTCACGGCTGGTGTGAGACGTACTGTGCCTAGAAGGACGGCCGAGGGTGATTAGGTGGCTTCTGCAGGTTCCCCATACTCTCAGGTCCTATGGGACTGTTTTATGGGACTCCTTTACAATCAATTGATACATACAAGATTTCCTTCAAAATAGAGAAGCACCCAGAAGGGGAGCAGAGGAGAAAATAGCTTTTTTCTTTTCCCTTCTGAAATGTTATTCTAAATCTGAAATGCGGCTTTCCAGACGTTTCCTTGCCTGGGTTACAAATGAGGACGAGTTTGAGCGCATGGCTAGACTCTGTGTGGATGGCGAGCTATTAGACCATGGAAACCCTTACTCAGGAAGCAAGAGGTAAAGACTCTATAAACATCCATCCTGCGCAGCAGCGAGGAGAACGCGGGGCCCTGGAGCTGCTGAATGTCGCTCAGGGGGTGGCCAGGGCCCGTCTGGCTGTGACCCAGTAACTCACCGCCTTAGGCCAGTAGAGCTTAGCGGGTGGGTCTGACGTGAGAATATAGTCAAGAGCCTCACCCCTCTCCCACCTCCTCCGCCTGCTCCGGCTCCTCCGCCCAGCTTGCTGATTGCTGATTATGGCAGACAGAGTCCCAGCAAAGGGAGGATGGGAGGCAAATGCATGAGATCCAGACAGACCCCGCCGGCTAGCCATTCCCCCAGCACGTTCCCCGAGGGGTTAGAGGAGCTGAGGATGGGACTTAGTCTTTATAAACCACACACGGGGCCTGGCCGTCCACTTCCCTTCCTCTTCAAGTCTGTGCTCTTCTTCTTCTTAAAGCAATGCCAGGCGTCCGTGTTTATCATCACGATCCTTTCATGAAGTCGGGCTTCCCTTGGCCCCCTGTCCCCTCCCTCTGCCTTGTCATTGACGCCCTGGGCGCACCCACAGCCACTGCCCGCTGGTCTCTCGGTGCTGTGGGGGGCCCAGCTGGTGGTTCCGGTTGCCAAGTGCGCATCTCAGAGCCGATGAACTGAGTAATCGCTCGCTCTGAGCCTCATCGTTGCCAGCCCACTTTTTAAAGTTTCTTTTATTAGTCTGCATTTCACATTCTGAAAATTACAAAAAAAAATAAAAAATCAGTGTATCCTAGAAGCCCTCCTGGCTCCCTCCCTAACGTCTCCTAGCAGAGCAGCGCGGCACAAAACAGCCTGTTCCCACGTCCTTCTTCCCGGTTTATTTATGCATGAACGTGACCCCTAAGTTTTGTTTTTAAGCAATCTCCTGGTTAGCAACACAGAAATATGACACATGACATGTTTGCAAAAGAATCGTCTACTGTGTGTCACAATTTTTAAAAGCACAAAGGCAGATGAAGAAATGAGAATGTGAGAAAAATGTTCATGAGGAAAATGGTGTTTCTGTAGGGCTTGTAAGAATAAAACATAGTTTAGTACAGGGATGGCAAACCTTTTGAGCTCGGCATGTCAGCATTTTCAAAAACCCTAACTTAACTCTGGTGCCGTGTCACATAGAGAAATTTTTTGATATTTGCAACCATAGTAAAACAAAGACTTACATTTTTGATATTTATTTTATATATTTAAATGCCATTTAACAAAGAAAAATCAACCAAAAAAAATGAGTTCGCGTGTCACCTCTGACACGCGTGTCATAGGTTCGCCATCACTGGTTTAGTACAAGAATCTCCGCCTCTTTAGAGAGTGGAACGATTGCCCTAGAGTAAAATACTTGGTAAGTACATTGTCAATATAATTCTCTCATGAAGTGCTGTTCTGTGGCATTTTCACAAGTCACCCGCTGTCTGGCCCAGTGCTGGGCAGCTCTAGTCATTAGAACATGTCTTCCTTCCTTCCGTAGAGTTGAAGTCTGACTGGTCATTTTTCCTGATTGGTGTAACTCTGTTTTCTAAAGACACAAAGAACAAATCTCATTCTTTGCTCGGAAATTAATAATAATCTGCCTTAAACATCCGATTTAAAATTCTAAAGGGCATACAAGTCCAATTATAAAGAGGAAAATAATTAAACATGAAAAACTGTCCACGTTCACTTTTCATCAAACAAATGCAAATTACAATCCCAGCAAGTTACTATGATTAGATTATGTTTAGCATCTATTCATTCGCCCACAATTGACATAATAGTAATGACACATAGTGTTTGGAAGAGTTTGATGAAACTATTCTCTCCTTTGATTGGTCATGGAGTTAATTAGTACAAATTTTCTGGAAATAATTTGCCAAACACTGTAAGAACCATTAAAAATTTGATCCAGAAATCTATTCCTTGAAATTTATCATTAAAAAATGTTAATGAAGAAAGAAATTAAGTTTTAAAAGATGTCTTTCCAGGCTTAAGTATAATTCCAAAAAATTAAACCCACCTAACACCCACTATTCCATTGGGGAAGAATCCTTCGGTAATAATGCAAGTCTTTTACGCTTTAACTCAGAGAAACCAGCTTCAAGCATTTAAAGTTACAATTTAAAACATAGGCCACAGGGCAGAAAAGTCTTGCATTTGCTATGATTCCAACTCCGTGAAACTATTACTTTCTCCAGCTCAGAGACGCATGTCCAGATGAACTAGGATTGATACATTACAAAGTGGCACATTGCAATTTTGAGGCTCTTCTGTGAAGTTTTTTCTCTTTTCCTGTCATCGTTGTTATGTTATTTGTGCCTTTAAACGGTGGGAAATGGAGGTGGGGAAACACCTTTGGAGGACAAAGGTGCTTGGAGCATCAGAGAGCACTCCAGGGCTTCTACCCACACGGGCTTGTCCGCGTGTCAATGCACATACTGACTGTCAAGTCCATGTGAAAACGTGAAATGATGCTGCCCCCACGGAGACGGGTCTCGGTGCACTGGGAGCAGGCCCGGGGGGAGAGCATGCATCTGGCCTCTCTTTGCCAGGCTACGCGGTGAACTCGGCCACCGTCCCCGGGGGAGACGTGCTGTACATCGCGGGCCAGCCCCGCTACAACCACACCGGGCAGGTCATCGTCTACAGGATGGAGGGCGGGGACGTCAGGATCCTGCAGACGCTCCGGGGAGAGCAGGTGAGCCGGGAAGTTATGGCTGTAAAGTCCCCCGTCCCCACTCTGGGCAGATTCCACTTAGCTGCCTGCTGTCCGCAGCTTCAGAAACACAGCAGCCTCATATTCCACCTCAGCTGAGACCGGCCCTGGGCTGGGCTCTCGGAGGCGTGGAAAGTGGCTGTGAGTTTGGAGGCGGAGCGGGGGTGAATAGGTGATAGATGCAGATGCGGGGGTACACATACACGTACAGAAGGGAGAGCAAGCAGCTTAGGAAGAAGGCGGCAGAGCACAGACAGGACGTGCGGGAGGTGGAAGGATGGCTTTGCGCGTGGGCTGGTGCGGAAGGTCTTCGTGAGAGACAGCGCCTGGGCAGGTGAGGATGTAGACGGTGGCAGGCGCCGTGGGAGGCCAGGCAGGGAGAGCAGCCCCGTGGTGGGAGGTGCGGAGTGACAGGCACCCCCGTGCCCCCCCCCACCCCCACCCCCCGCCCACACACACACACACAAAGTCCTGGGAAGGGCAGGGCCGGGCCGCTCAGCGCCGCTCCCCCAGGGGCCTCCCCGCAGCCCAGCGCACAGTGCGGCTCAGGTGTCGCCAGCAGACCTGCCAGCGAGGAGCCAGCGTCCACCACAGGCCAGGGCCATAGCTGGCGGGTCCCTGCTGGGGCGCAGCTGCAGAGCCTCAGGCGCAGGCTCCTCTGCAGCCGGCCCAGGCGCGTGCAGGAGGCACCAATCCATGTGTTTCTCTCACATCCATGTTTCTCTCTGTCTCTCCCTCTCTCTTCCACTCTCTCTAAAAAAGAAAAAACAAATAAATAAGAGAGAGAACATACTGCTGCAAGGGGGGCGGGGGGGGGGTCCCTGCACCCTGTCCCCCGCAGCGGCTGGGACTAGACCACGCCCTGAGCTGGGGGACAGTGTCTGAGACTCACCTATGAAATCGCTGCCCCGGATCCCGCCCCGTCCAGCCCCTCCTGCGGACTCAGGGCGCGTGTGCACACCGCGGCCTCTCAGCGTGCGCTGGCCCCTGTCCGAACGCCTCCCATTGTTTACCTCATGGCGTTCCT